TAGTCTGTGAATAGCTGTACCTTCACAACTGGTTTAGGTTTCATCTCCCCACTTCCTCAACATGTCATCCACTGTGTAGTCTGTGAATAGCTGTAAAGATTTCAGCCACTGTACAGCCCTGATATGGATCACTGCCCTCAATTCTTCAGCCCTCTCTCGTTGAGTTTGATATATGCATACATGCACATTACTTTTTGTTATAAAAGGGGATTATTAGGTTTAATAAGGTATTTGCTTGCTTATGAAGTTTTATGTGGGTTGGATTTTAGGAGGCTGAAATAATGTGGGATTGCAGATTGACATTTGCCTGAGATTGTATAGACCAAGAACTAGAGAGAAGTTTGATAGTGAACCAATTGAAGTAGTAAATGAGCCAGGTAGTTTGATGACTGAAAATTTAGATATCCAATCTTAAAAATGTGGAAGAATGTATTTTCTTTTTGAAGGTTGGAAATGTTGATGATGCCCTAAACTGCTGGATGCTATATGCTTTCAGAGCATGAAGATGTTTGCCTAGTTATTTAGAGCAAATTTTTTGCCTAGTCTTGATGTGGTATTGATGATGTTTAAGTTGATACAAAATTTATTTTTCTTTTTGAGGTTTTGTCGTTTTTGTAGTTATTAGTTAACATGCCATCACCTTTGTATTCTACTTGGTTCATGTAATTGTTTTATGAAATCGGGGTTTAGAAGGATCTTCTAGAGGTCTCAATTTCTCAAGAAGCTTGAGTAGTTTGGATTATTCAGAGTTTTATACAACAGTTGTTGAGATGTAACCAGCTTGGTGGGGCTAACCTTTGCGGTTTACGAGGATCTACTAGAGTTTTAAACAATATCAACATGAAATTGGATGTGGAATTTTGTAGAAGGGTTGTTGATATGAAATGAGGCTTGATTGCTTCTATAAGAAATTTCATAAAAGCATCTTATCTAAAAAAGAATTTAATGGAACCAAATTATAGGTTTGTTATATGAAGGATACAGTGTAGCTGGGCAAATCCCTGAATTTGGACTTATGCTTGTGGAGCAACCTTCAATGCCCATTTCAGTCCCCAACTTAGATTGGTTGTAGCCTCACAGTCACAGGGAGGACCATGTACCATTCCAAGTAATCAACTTTGTGGCATGGACTTGGGACTAGGTTGATTAGTCACCTGGTTAGGTTCCCCCTAGTTTGCTCCAAACAATACAATCTTTGCAGTCCTCCTAAGTGCATGTTATGGCCAATGAGATCCTGGTTTTTATAATTCCATTGTCATTGGGCATTAATTATGTTCAACTGCTTGGTAAAATGGGCTGTGTTCTCCAAGCGATCATATTGTACTTCATATCAGGCCCTAAGTACTGCAAGGACTTCACTTTGGATTTCTAGTTGCATTTCAAAATTAAGGTGTTTTTGATCAGTAACAATTGAAGCTTCATTAAGAATGTCTATTTGATGTGCATATATAGATGCATTCTCTCTCTCTCTCTCTCTCTCTCTGGCGTGTGTGTGGCTCTTTTTGGAATTGTTAGGCCTGTATTCAGGCTTCCCCCCATCAACACACACACAGCGGTATTATACTACAAGATAATTCTGGTTGATTCATCTTGTTGATTTCTTTATTTCCCCGTTTAACAGTTTCAAGAGCTCAAATTTCAGCCCCACCTGGATTTTCAGTCCCTAACAGAGCACCCCCACCGGGCTTCTCTTCCCAGGAGAGAATGGACCAGGCTTTTGACTCTTCTGGTTTGTTCTCTCTCTTTTTGTACTTTCACATTTTTTTTAAGTTATGCCTTCTTGATTTGGTCTTGTTTCATTACATCTCAGGGAACCATTTGCTCGAGAGTTCTTTACTGAGAAACAAATATCAGACTTCACCAAGTGGGATTGGCAGCATTGCGGATGTTGAATTTATTGATCCTGCAATACTGGCTGTTGGTAAAGGGAGACTGACCAATGGGATCAGTAATATGGGCTTAGACATCAGATCAACTTTCCCCCCTCAGTTTGGTGCCTCTGAAAATGATGCAAGGCTTCAATTATTGATGCAACAATCCATCCCTTCACATCATAACCTGAGATTTTCTGATCATATTTCCGATAGGTTTTCTTCTTGCAGTGATGCTTATTCTATTCCATCTAGGCTTTTGGAGCAATCCCAAATCAGCAGCATGGCCCCATATTCACAGTTATCATTCCAACAGTCTAGACATGCACGGATGTCAAACAGTCATTGGGATGGCTGGAATGATGTTCAGACTGGAAATGATCTGGGTATGGCAGAGCTCCTTAGAAATGAAAGACTGGGATTCAACAAAATTTTTCCCGGCTACGAGGATCTAAAGTTTCGGATGCCAAGTTCCAGTGATCTTTATAACAGGGCATTTGGGATGTGATATATGTTAATAGTGTATGCTTTTGTCTGCTTGCTAGACAATTGTATATATGGAGCCAACTGATGTGACCGTTTATAAGATAACTTCTGCTCTGGCGGATGGGCAACTGACCTTCCTTTGGCAGTTTCTCTTACTGGGAGCTTAAAGAATGTTGAAGCTATCCTACATCTGGATTTCATGATGATGATCATCCCTTGGGTTTCTGGATGTCAGCTGGTAATTATTAATTCATTCGTTTTTCTCTCACAGCCTTTTCCCCTTTTTCTCCATACCTTGCTTCTAAGCGAAGAAAACCTAGTTGTAGAAAAATCATCTATAAATTTGATGGTTTAAAGCAAATCATCAAAATTGTTTGCCATAAACAAACTCTTAGGTAAACTCAGATGGTGATGCTCCCCACTCTCTCCTGGAGACATGTGTTGTAGATGTTTTCAATTGAGAACTTGTTTGAGAATATGCATAGGAAGGAGCCTTCTGGCTGACCTGTTATTGATTTTCTCCCCAGACTGGTTTCTGAAGATTTTAAGATATACATTGGTTGTGAAAGTGAATGAGAGCAACTGTGCATCTTTTATGATCTGTCAACCAATTGGATCAGAATCCAAGGGCCTTGAATGCCAATAAAAAGACAGCCACGGTTGTTGTGTTGGATCTCGGACTGACGGTTGACAGCATGTAATGCACGTATGTACTTTCTCAATCATTTTTATCATATTAAATTTATATCATTCTTTATTTTGCCACATCTTATGCATCGGTTATTGACAGGTAAGGCTGTCAGCGTAGCTATGAGCTTAAGGTTTGTATTCATGTTTTTTTGATCGGCTGGTTCACCATCAGGTCTTGCAGTTGCAGTCCCATCTAAAGTCTGAATACGTTCGTTCCCTTGTTTGTATCTATCTTTTTTTTTTTTTTTTTGGTTTGCAACTTTGCATTGAATATCGAGTTGAAAATCAGAGGTTATCTGATGTGTAATGTATCTTTTTGGTGAATGGTCTTCAGACACAACGAGTTAAAAGAAACTGAAACGGGGATTTGACATTGTAATTCGACCACCTGACTATCAAAAAATTTTGCTTTGATATGATTTAATGATCAAGGGTGTTGTTGCCTTTAGCACCAAGTTCTCACTTCTGCGGCTATGAATATGATGAAATAAATCTAATCTATCAAAAAAACTCGAAGCTTGCGTTTGAATTGGGGTCACGGGATTAGTAACACGGTTCACCATTGAATTGGTTCGAACTAACTTTACCGCGGATCAAATCAATCTGAGCCTTCTCAACAATCTTCCATTACGTCTAAGGTTGCAAACGGTATTTCATTGCCTAAATTCAAATTTGATCCCATCAAGGGTAATCTAAATTCGATCTGTTTATGATTGGCTTGAATATGGGCCTGAGCTTATCCCATTTGATTCAATTTAAATATATATTCTCATGTGCATTTAAAATTTATATTTGTATTAAATTTTCATATGTTTTTAAGTTTCATATAGAAGATTTTTAATAAAATCTGTTCATAAAATAAAACATCAAAGTATCTGTAAGTCATTTTATTAATCAATCCAATTTGATTTGAATAGGACATAAATTCGGCGGACAAGAGCCAGTACCTATATTTGATTTCATTCAATCCGTTTTCCGCCTTATTGCTTGCTGTTGGTATTTATCTGATGGTTTTTGATGCTCAATGGTGGATCATGGGGCCCGGGCCTTTCCTGTGTGCCTACTTCACAGGTTTGGCTTTTACAATAAATTGCTGATGACTTATGTTTTTTGGTAAAATTATGTAAAAGTATATGATGATGTCAAATCAAGGTTTTAAAAGGCAATATATGGATGTAATCCATATAGACATTTAAAAAAAGAGTTTGACTATGATATGTAAAAGATATGATATTCGAAAAACATCTGACCAATCAACTGTAGAGTTCACATCTGCCCCTCAAAGAATGTGCCCCCAAAATGCCCCACATACACATCTCAGCATGGAGAACATCTTTCATACTTATCATTGGAAGATGTTCTCAATACATGGTTGGGATGTGCTGTGGGACATTTTTGAGACGCATTCTGTAAGGGGCAGAGGTGACTTCTCAACTGGAATTATAAACATGGTAGTGAATCATGTGTTATTTATCAAAATTCATGAGTGGGTTTTGATTGGTCAAAACTCTTTCCATACCATATCTTCCCCGCATCATAGGTGACTTGTTATATTAGAAATAGACCAATGTGTTTTATGAGCAGGGGTGGAGCCAGTGCCTTCAAAATTCCCCTAAAATCTATATAAGTTCCACATATCTTAGGCTTTTTAGCCCCCTTACCCATGTTTCCTAACTTTTGCCCCCCATCTAGGTTTTCTAGGTTTTGGCCCCCTCAATAAAAAAATCCTAGCTCCACTCCTGTTTATGAGCAAGGTATTTCTATTTCATTTCTTGCACCTATGAATGAGTGAAAAGTGACCACTGTGAAAGGTGTGGGTCCCATGTATTTTATTACTGGCGTGGAACTTTATCATTAATTTCATACTTCCATAACCCGCTGAACAGCCATCACCTTCAGTTAATCCTTGCTCACGTGTGATGCATGTGCATTGGAAGAAATAGATTATCAAATATGAATATTCAATTACGGGGTTGATAGGTGAGTGGGTAAACACAGCATGAACAGTACAAAATAAGCTATTTTCATACACTTTTGTATGCATTTATTTATTATTTTGGTATTATTTATTTGTGCATTATGTCAATGCAAAACAAGACATTCTTTTCTTAGTCTTGAATTACATTTTTATCCATATGTATAAATAAACCTTCATATTTAGCACGCCAAATACTTGAGGTTCAAGCCTGGACATAAGCCTCAAACAACTCAAGTCTTAAGCTTGGTGGAGTTTGAAGCCACCGTGGCAAGGCCATTTTTTTCCTAGCCTTACCTTGAGGCTTTAGGCCTTTGGCCTCGCCTCAACAGCCTTTTAAAACAATATGCGAGTTTAGATTAATATTGCTAATATATATTATATATAAGGTTAACTGGTTCATTGGTTTTGGGTTGGGCTTTTCCTTTGCGTCACCTGGTTCAACCAACCACCCTCAATGGGGTTGGCGATCCCTGGCCCAACCAAATGTGTAGAGTGCTAAACCTTTTATTTTGTATCTATTTGTATTGTACATATTTGTATTTATACTCTTTCCAAATTGAACCTAAATTCCCCAGTTTATTGGTTTGTGTTATACTTGTAGATGTAGAAGTGCAAAGTTAGGACCTATGGCTCAGTTTGGAAGGAATACAAATACATACAAAATACAAAGTTTTGCGCTCTACATATTTGTATTTGTACTGCTTCCAAATGGAGCTTATGGGAACACAAATTGTAGGAGCCTAAGACTATCTCATGCCTGGGTATCAAATATGAATTAAAAGAGATTGGCTCTAGAGTGGTGCCTTTCTATTTGGTTATCTTTTGTGTAGTTAAAACTCAAAGTAGTTATCCCATAAGAAAAACAATGAATCGAAAATCAAAACCTCTTGTCACTTGGAATGCCCCTGGATCAGTTGGTTTCTGGGCTTCTCTCTATTCGGCCTGATTAACAAATTTGCTTTCTCCATTCTATTTCTATTTGTGTCTGTGGAGCCTTAACGTTCCTCTGGCTTCAGGCCCATTTTCCCTTCCCATCTTCTCTGCTTTTATACATGACTACCTGTCTTCTTCACTTTGTTCAACAACTTATTACTACTGATCACCCTCTTTGTACCATTCTCTGGATCCCCAAAAGATGTGTAGTAGACAAGTAGTCTTCCTCCAATATAAGGATGACAATCATGAATTTCCAGTATTGAGTATTTGATAGGACAGAATGAAGCTGCCAAGTGTAGTGTAGCCTCCCTCAGTACTTTGACATAAGAGAAATTCTAGGAAAAACATAAAATCTCAGATTAGAGCTCCAATTGATCTGTTTAGTCTTGACCCATTTTGGTGGCAATTGCTTAGCAATTGGAGACTGGTCAGATCAGGTTGAGAAGAGTCAGTTGGGTGTTTCAGAACAGCCTGATTTACAAACATTTCATCAAAAGTTTCAAATTCATTCCAACCCCACTTGAATCAAAAAGAAAAATGCACAACTAAGAAAAATCAGTTTCATTAATTAATCAGTCCAACACAATGTCATGATTTTATACAACTCCCATCCCATCAAAATTTCATATTATTTCTATGCTAGTATATGCCTTTTGCCTTGCCATACAGGTCAATCCAACAGTCACAGAAACGAAAGAAACGAAGGACATCCTGTCCTATTTTATCCAAACCCCAACCCACTTCTCTACCTCCTCCTCCTCCTTTCTTGACAAAGCTTTCAATCAGACTGAGAAGTGCAAGGAGACTTGTCAGCACAACAAGCTTCTGTTAATTCTGAAGTACGTTTTGGGGAGGGAGGTGAGGGACCCACCGACTCACCACTTCCTACTTTATCTGGATGAACTTTCACTGGTGGTGGAGGCATTTTCTCATTCTTCTGCTCTTCATCTCTTTCACTCTCAACCTGTCCATGTCAAAATAATGCAGCAAAAGAAGAATCAAACAAACACAGAAACAGTGGATCCTTGCATCTCTCTCTCTCTCCACTCAGACACAGACACAACACACAAACACATTAACACATTCAAAGATGCCCAATATCTGAAAACTGTTCATCTTGGAAAAGAGAAAAAAAAAAGAAAGAAAGAAAAGAAGCAAACAAGCAATGGAAAGACATGGCTCTGGTTTGTTTGTCCATTATTACCTTTAGAGTAGACATTGGAGGGGAATCCACGCTTTCAATCTTAAGACTGACTAACCATTCTCCCACCCCCACCCCCACTTTACTTGCAGCATTTTCCCATCCCCATTATAGAAATTCTTTGCCCCAAGATAGAAAGTCTGGAGGAAGTTAGCAACTGTTTTCTCTTTTTCCGGCTTTTCATGGGCACCAATCATGGTGATCATCCCACGTGGCAGCAGCAGAATCTATCTACGTCACTCTTATTCGTTGGTTGTGGATCTCCATTCTCAGGTAACCAATTCATCATTCTGTCTCCCTCGTGTTCCTCCTACCTCGATCCTATTTTTAGTAACCCATGAATCCCAACTCATTACCCTTTTCTCAGTAAAACCTTAATTCCCCCTCTTGTTTTGGACCTTCAATTGTTTTTGGGCTAATGGGCCATGGAAAAAGGAAAAAAAAAAGACTAATAATTTTGCCTTCCCTTCTTTTTCTAACTTGTGAATGACCCCGTACTAAATTCAGGGAATCAGTAATGTTAAATTTACATTATAAAATCAATATTGTTAAATTTATGTTTATTAATATTGTAAATAGTTATTAAAATTTTAATAATATTTACTTCAAAATATAGCTTTTCAATAATTATTAGAATATGGATAATTTTATTTTGCTATGACACATAGAGGGTTAACGATTAAGTGAGATTGATAGAATGTAGGTAAAAGTGGTTGTAGATAACAATTTTTGCATTTTCCGCATTTTTGTTAGGAATGGATTGAAAATGGTGGTAGTGGGCTTTAGCAACAATTTCTCAGAAATGCCATGTGTCTAGCTTTCTAGAAAAATGAGAAGGCCATCTGTCTAAATGGTGGGGAGCTATAGCCTGGTAATGGGTTGTGGGCTTTATTAGGAATTTCTCGAAAATTGCCACGTGTCTAGTTTTCTAGAAAATGAGAAGGCCACTTGTTTGAATGGTGGTAGTGGGCTGTGGACTTTAACAGCAACTTCTCAGAAAATGTCAAAGCCTTCTTTTAATATATCTATACTACTAATAAAAGAGCGAATAACCCCATTTTCTAGACTTTTCATTAGACATTTTTACCCATTATCTAAGCAACACACAACGGGCATAAAAAGGGCATATATGTCATTTACTCTCACTCAAAAAACTGTCAACTTGTAACTGTTCACTTATAATAGTTAAGAAACTGTCCACTTATAATATTCAAAAACTGTGCATGAGTTGTAAATAGTTTTGTCTTGGAGATATTGTCACATGCAAATGCACGTACATGTTTACTATTATATATATATATACAAATCTACGTACCGTGTCAAATGGACTCAG